TATATATATATATATATATATATATATATATATATATATATATATAATTTTAAATAAATATACTCCGATTAAAGGTAATGAATTCAGACCTTTATAAATTTTAGTTATATCTATATATTTATGGCTTGCGTCAGTTTTTTTGAATTCATTGAGTCTGTACATCATTCATCTGTGCTTTAAAAAATATATGATTTTTTTTAAAAAAATTATATATTGAAAGAAACTCATAAATTGTCATTTTCCATTTTCATATATTTATTTAATGAACTGAATTATCATTAAATTTTCAAGATTAATTAGTTATATCATTTATATTAATTATTTATTATGTGTTTACCGTGATAAAACCATGTCGTAGGGTCAAATAATCAACTTTTGGAACAGATCTTACAAATTGCCTGAAGAAACAAACCTGCAAATTAAATTACAAATAAAATAGTTAAATGTAAAAATATAACATAATATATTATTTTCAATTATAATAGACTTTTTTAACTCAAAATTTATTTTTATAATAAATTTGAGATCAAGGATACTTACAATCCATAGAAGAACTGAATTTTTAGTCCAAAAACTCAAATGTCTTCTTCCAAATGATGTATCTCTAGCAAATCGAAATCTCTCTGGATCTGTTAAATTATTAAACACGTTAATATAATGACTCTTAATTTCTTACACTACTAAAAAAATAAAAATTTTAGACATTGATAACATGCTCTATATTTAACGAGATAATTTTCGATCGAAAATTTATTTTTAGGATGATTTTTACCATGAGAAAATTGGTACTCAGCTGTTCTTGTTTCCTTTTCCCATATCTTCCAACGACTCATCTGAAATTAATAAAATACAACCAAATTAATAATAAATTAAAAAATAACTTGACCTATTTTGAATACTTCTATAGTATTTTCTATTTTTTTTTAAAAAAAGGAAAAATAAGTAAATAAATATTTATTTATATATTGTTTGATTAAAATACCTTAGCTCTTCCCAATGCCAATGTGGTAACACAATAAAATACATGAAAAATAGCCAGCACAAAAATGAAAATATGTAATTGATGAATACCATCAGCAGACACAAATGCTACTTTTCCCTGCAAATTACAAATCCAAAAAAAAAAAATTAATTCACGCCTCGTTTTGATTAGATGATCGTAAATAGTTGATAAATTTAAATATAAAAAAATATATCCAAGCGTTGAAATTAATTTTATAAATAAATATGAACAATTGGCATGTTTGTTAAGAAAAAATCTTGATAAATTTAAAAGTATCAATTTATCATTATGTTAAACTGGTAATTTTATTTTTTTATTATTTATTTTAGAAAAAACAAAAAACATATATACAAAAGAAGAGAAAGTTAAGATTTTTGTTTAGCTAAAAATATTTCAAATAAATAAGGATAAAGTAATAAAATAAAAATAGTCAAACTTAAAATACTTAATACTATAGGCTTAAATTAATTAGGAGTAATATATAAGTAATAACTAAGTTATGACTTTTGACATATTTTGATTTATAAGCATTGGCATTGACTTATAAAGTTAACGTGCGTTTTGGCTAATTTTAAGTCGATCAAATTAGCTTATAAGTATTTTTTTAATTTACAGTATAGTATGTTATTTACTTATAAAATATATAAATATATTTTATTATTCTAGAGTATATATAACATTTTCTTCGTTTAATATTAACTATCATTTTTATTAAGAAAAAAATAATAAATACGAATAACATGCCTTGTCTGCACATTTGTCAGTTCCGGCAGCCGCCAAAACTCGCCGGACTCCGCCATCGTCAGCCGTGAAAAGTCGCCGGCGATGACCCTCTAAGTCACCGGAAATATATTTGTTCATTTCAGCTTCTTTTTGTTTACTACATGGATGCCACGTACTTGCAATTTTTTCAGATACACAAATATTTGAAATTGGATCTTGCCCTACTGTTAATAGTAAGGATATAAATCCCAACAACATTAACTCTATAAAAAAAATTAAAAATAAAATATTAGTGAAAATAAATAAAAATATGTTCGTTAGAAAATTAACGAGTATATGTATGTTGTTCAAATTCTACAAAAATATCGTTGCAGTGTATGTTGATCAGACCAATCCTTCAAAAGTTATGTAAATTATGAAGAATCAGATAATAACAGAACAAAAATGACAATATATTTGAAAGATTCGAACAATATGAATTTAAAATGTATTACAAAAATATCATTTAGTGTATATTGATCAGATCAATCCTTCAAAAGTTATATAATTATGAAGAATCAAATAATAACAGAATAACAACGACAATATATTTGAAAGGTCCGGATAATATGAATTTAAAGTGTATTATAAAAATATCATTTGGTGTATATTGATCAGATCAATCCTTCAAAAGTTATATAATTATGAAGAATCAGATAATAACAGAACAACAACAACAATATATTTGAAAGATCCGAATAATACGAATTTAAAGTGTACCTGCTTTTATCTTCTCAAGTGCTTCATATAATGCTCTTTTATGTTTAGACTTCAACCACTATACATGCAAGGGCAAAAGAATATTAATGATAAAATTATATTTGTGAATTTATTGAAATATATCTATGTTATATCGTACACTATAAATATTCATGAATTTATGACCCAATTATATAAATACTTTTTACCTTTTTAGTGTAAGAATTTTTTATATAAACAGACATGTTCACTTGTTGGAACAAGTAAAATATATTAATTATAAAATTATAAATCTCATAATTCAATGATCAGACTTAGTAGATATCTTTTGAATAATACATAATAATAATAATACGTATATATATATATAACTTAAACTCTATCAAAATATTGCATGGTTAGTGGCCTACCTTGCCAATAAGATGGATGATGAGCTCTATTACAATGGAAATGGCAACCAATGCAAAACAAACTAGGGCAACCGCCCACGTCGGCGTTTGCTCCAACGATCTTCCTCCTCCTCCTCCCGCCATCTCCCTGTCTCAACCTTAATTAGTTCAAATGGTCGATCAGGTGATGATCAGAGTAAATGAGACTTTTTCACTCTTGATTTACTAGAAATCTTGATTTTGTTATTAATATATAAAGAATTTTATCGATAGAAATCAAGTACGTACTATATTATCTTTTATAGTGAGTCTACGTAGCGTAAATTGAAATTAATGAGAAGGAGATATGTAGAGTGTAGTAGCTAGAGTAGTTAGGATAGTACACAAAGTGAAAATATGTAATGATTTATATACAACTCCAATTATAGAATTGGGGACAATAAGATAACTAAAAGAAAAAAGAATAAAATTATACAATTAGGGGAAAATGGATGACTTTGACTTTATAGACGCGTAAGAAAGAATTGAAAGGAGGAATGACTTTTTTCTAATCGTTTTTCATTGAGTATTCGAAAATCTGATTAAATTAAATTCATATTTTTATATATTATAAGGTTTATCGTGTCTAACAAAATCCATTTCTAAGGATCAATGCTTTAAATAGAATTTTTTTTATTAGTCTTTACACTATGATATCTATAATATTTAAATCTGTGCAAGTCCAAAAACTTACATATTATAAGACTTATTTAAAACAACGCTTTAATAGAATTTTTATAATTTTTTAAAAGATTTAAATCAAAAATTTAATCTAAAAAGTTTCGAAACAATTCCACCACGATCCAACCCATGATATGGTGAGTGATGAAAGGAGGATATGACTCATTGACTTAAACCAATATGTTAGAGGAAATACTTAGTTTGACTTGATCAAACTACTATTTTTCATATTATATAATTTATATGCCTAAATATTTGTGTACTTTATTGATTAAAAAATATTAATTTTACTTTTTTGTTGGTATTATATTATTCATATATTTAGATAGTGATGATATGATGTATGTATCATACATATTTCTTTTGACTATCGTGACGATTTTCTATTTTACTTAAACTAGAAAAAATGAAAAATAATTCTAAATGTTATAATCAACCAACCATCTGTCACCTTATTAATTGTTAAGAAAATATTGGTTTACATTTTCTTTTAAGTCATGTCAATTAATTTATTTTGGTCAAATTAAAATATCGAATATAAAAATATTAGTCTGTTCTATCAAGATTTTAAGGCGTAACAAAATTAGTATCAGAAATAGAGAGTATTTCATTGAAAATAATTGGAATGTTGACTTATTATGGAATAATTACCGGTTTATTATGTGTATTAAAATAATGTTTGATTTTTTTTAATTTCATTTTTTGGAGTTGACTACGTATGGAGGTGTACAACCATATAATTTTTATTTTTTTTATTTTTTTATTTATTATTATTATTATTATTATTATTATTATTATTATTATTATTATTATTATTATTATAACAAGTCATTTATTCTTAGCTAATTAGAGTTATATCGTTAATTGTATAAAAACGTTTATTTCAATTTTTGTGAGTATTTAAAATGGACAGATAACTAATGCAAGAAATTGGATGGAATTTGACAGGATAATTTAGAATGCATTAATTAACCCGTTGATTAAATAAATTAATATAAAATATTTAAAATATATTTTTTTAAAAAAAATAGGTGTCCTTGTGTGACTTTATTTAAGGTAGTATGACGTCTTCATTTGATGACAAATTTTTCCGTTGATTTCGAAATTATAATTAAAAAAAATAATTCATTTTATTTATAATAAGGATAAAATAATATTAAATTTGAAATATAAATTTATTCTGAAAATTCGTTATATATTTAACTAAATAAAATATAAGCTTAATTTAAAAATATTCATCTTATCCTTCACAAATCAAACGACTCGTACGAATATCACTACAAGAAAACTGTAAAGAATTTTCTCGGGAATTAGTATAAAAATTCGGAAGAAATTTATTTTCCTGTAAATTTTCATACTAATATTCACGAAAATTCCTATGTAGATCACAATTTTCGTGTAGCGTATGTACAACAACTCTTGTTTTTAACTAATAAGATGTGGACATTAGGATAGATAATTATTAGTTAATCATAATAAAAAGAATTAAACTAATCTCTTAGACACTTTCAAACGATATGTGAAGTTGAACGATTCTCAAATCTCAATTATCAAGTACTAATTATGTACTTTCCTTCTGATTAAAATATGTTCATTTATTTGCCAAGAAAAATAGTTTTTAGAATTTCTTAATTATATGTATTATTAATAGTTTTTAGAATTTCTTAATTATATGTATCTTTTTTTTTTTGGACATTATATTTTCTGGTCAAATGAACATATTAAGTGATAAACAGTCAAACAAAGCAGAATAAAGATTTTATAATTAAGTGAATGAAAAATGCAAAACGATGACTTTCAACATAAGTTGACATAAGACTATAATTTCTTTTTTATTATTAAGAAATTTGCTTCGAATCATTAAATTCTTAACGATAGAGTTATTCGGTATAAATGTTGACTTGAGATAAGATTAACGGAGCTGAAATTCTACCTGCGGATTCTGAATACTATAGTTTTGGCTAGAACATATATTCGTGTATGTTTATTAAACTTCAAATTGAATTGTGTAATTATGGATTGTAATTTGAATCCTAATTAATGAGTTTTACAATTAATTGTGTAAATTGGACCTATTGTGGTTTAAGTCCAATGATGTTGAAAGAGTAAATTGAGATTTATGACTTGAATTAGTATTTTACTACTTTATCAGTAGTATTTTGGCTGCTTCATAAAATATAATCTTTCTTCATTTAATATTTACTCTATTTACGTGACATAATTGAGAGATTTACTGTGTCCAAGAACAACTATTACTAAATATAAAATGGAGAAAAGTGAACTTTTATTATTATCTTTTTAAGATAAATAATTTTTTGAAAAGCTCAAATATATCATTCAGCTTTCAGAAAAGGTTTATTTATGTCATCAGCTAAAAGTTTTGCTCGTTTATGTCATTACCATTAAAAAAAAACTTATTTATGCCATTATTTTTGTGAAATTAGGTCTTAGGCCTAACTCACACCCCAAAAGCTAGCTCAAAGGATGAAGGATTGCCCAAGCCTTATAAAGAGTCCACCCATCTCATTAATCACCGATGTGGGACTTTTGTCATTCTTTAACACCCATCTGGTGCGTGGGCAATTTTAATTTTGGGGACCCCAACATCGGGTGAGACGGACCCTGCTCTGATACCATATAAAATTAGGTCTTAGGCCTAACTCACACCCCAAAAGCTAGCTCAAAGGATGGAGGATTGCCCAAGCCTTATAAAGAGTCCACTCATCTCATTAATCACCGATGTGAGACTTTTGTCATTCTTTAACAATTTTTAACGATGATTTTACAAAACCATTTTTGATACGTGGCCAATTATAATTCGATCACGTCATCAATTTTTTTTTAAAAAAAAATTAATTCTGAAAAAAAATTGAATTAATTTTTTTATTAAATAAATTGATGACTTGCCGAATTATGATTGGCTACGTCATCGATATTTTTAATAAAAAATTCAAAATTCTGAATAAAAATTGTTTTTTTATTTTTCTATTAAAAAAATTGATGACGTGATCGAATTATAATTGGTCATGTGTCAAAAATGGTTTTCCAAAACCATCGTTAAAAAATAATGGCATGAATGAGCCTTTTCTTTAACGGTAATGACATAAATGAGCCAAACTTTTAACTAATAACATAAATGAGCCTTTTCTGAAAGTTCAATGACATATTTGAGCCTTTTTCTAATAAATTTTAATAAAAAACGATAAGTATTTTGAGACTGACACGGTATTTCTCTTGTATGATAAGTTCATCAACTCTTTTTTTTTCTTTATAGGAAAATTAAGTTCACATAGAAAAAGAAACTTTCTTTGTTAGATTCCAAGCAAATGAGAACACAATTTATTTAAAATATAAATTCTTCAAAGTGGCATCTCATCAATTTGTTCATTGGTCAAGTTTTAAGTGCTTGTCATCTTTGCTATTTTTAGTCACTCTTTTGAAATAAGCACTATATACATCACAAATTGTTAGGAAACTTCTCTTCAAGTTGATTGTTTTACTTCTTTTTATATAAACAATTTTGCATGCAAATTGCAAGTCATCAATGCATGCTTAGTCAATTGTGTTATTTATCTTCTCATCATATCATATGATATAAGTTTCGAAATAAGTGTCATAATTTAAAAGCAACTGAAGCAAGTAGAATAATCGAAAGCTGCTCAAAATTTAAGTTTTGAAATGTGTCATAAGTTAAATAATATTAGTGATTATTTTTAAAATAAGGATAACTTTCAAATATAGCAAATAAAAAATTTATATTTGTATGCTATAGTAAACTTTGCATAATTGCGCTCTATAGCAAACATAAAACTGTATAATTTGCTATACATATACAATTGTATAATTCGCTGGCCTAAATTGTATAATTCGCTGGCCTATTTCGCTGCAATTGTATAATTTGTTTTGCATACAGTTGAATCAAATTAAAATGTATGTATATTGCATAATTATAAGTGTATAGCAAGAAGATATATGTTTTTCTCACTTTATACAAAAACAGTAACACAATATATACACTTCTGTTGTATAAAGCTAGAGAAAATTGTATTTCACTGCAATTGTATAATTCGCAATTGTATAATTCGTTGGTCTTTTTCTCTGCAATATTTGAAGTAAAATGTTTGTAAATTGTATAATTAAGTGTATAACACGAAGATATACATTTTTGCTAGTGTATATACAATTTTCTCTCGCTTTATACAAAACAGAAACAAAATTATACACTTTTGTGTATAAAGCGAGAGAGGCGAGCGAGAATGGAGAGTGGCGAGCGAGATTTTTGGGAGAGAGATGCTGGCAAATTTTAGCTAATGTTTTCTATGGAGCACAATTAAATCAAACCCTAGCTATTCCATTTAATTTAGGTTATTAGTTTGCTATTATATACAATTTTTCCTTTTTATTTATGTAAAAGTCATTCAAATAATGTTAAATGGTTATTTCGCTTATGGTATATTTTTAATTTAATTTTGGAATTTCGATTTTACAAGGGAAATTTTGGTCGAGATTTTATTTCCTCTTTTAAAAAAATAAAACTTTAAATAGATTTGACTTTTGAAATATTATAAAGTTCAATTAGCGGTTCAAAAAGTGGCTATTTTCCTAAAGAAGTCCTCTTTTGACCCAATAATAGCCCAAAACAACCCTCTTGGGCAACGGCCCAACTTACGGGTCATTTACACTTTTATTCCTATTTTTACGGGCCTTTACACGACCTTACGAAAATTACGTAACTATAAGACTTAAGATAACATGATCTTTAAAAATTTATATCATTTGAATTAATTAAGAATTTTTTTCTTTTTCTATCTAAACATTTGGATATATCACTTCACTTCTGTCATACACATTACATCTTTGTTTGTGTAAAATGTGTATGGTACAAATTTTATTGTTGATACATAAACTAAATTATTTCAAACCTAATTCAATATGAATTTGGTTTATAGTTATGTATCGTATGAAGGAACAATTTATTCACAATTTTTGAAAAGTTTGACATTATTGTAATTTTGAAAACGTTCGGGATAGAATGTAATTAGCGCCCAAATTATCAGAATTTATGTGTTTTATATAAAATGTGGAATGATGGATCTTAATGTAAAGAGAGAGAGAAGGAAAACATGTTTTTTTTTTTGTAATTAATTCAAATGATAGAATTTTTTGTGATTTATGTTATCTTAAAATGTGGAGCACAAATTTATATTTTTGCTAATAGTATTTTATAAGTTATGTCTCGTACTTTAAAAATTTTATTACCCGGTCTAAGGGTAAAAATTAAAAGTCAACCCATTTAAAAACAAAAATTAAAAAACATCTCATTTGAAAAGGCAAATCATAATTATTTATATTTCAACTAACTGAGTTCAAATCAGCAATAAAGCCAAAAAAAAAAATGAGTACCATCCCAAAAAGACGGATCCTGTATTCGAGAATCCGAATAGAGTCAGAGTCTAATGTGAATATCAAAACATCGAGTAAAAATTAAAAAGAATATTTTAAAAAGTTCCCAATTTGCCCCTTTAGCTTTATAAACAAAAAAAATAAACTAATAAAGGGGCGTATGATATAACCGCGCCTAACTCTTGATTTTAAATTAAAAAACCTGTTCCCGCTTTTGATCATTTTTTGAACTTCAAAAAAAAGAAGTTATAATTCCAAATTCCAAATATATTAATATTAACAATTAACAATAAATATAATTCTATAAGTTTAATTCAAACTCAATTTTTTTCTCAAAATTATTATTATGTCTATGGATATGGATCTTCATCCTACACCATTTCCAGGTAAAATTATGTTTACGCATATTTAAATTATTATGTTATGTATTATAATTTTTTTTTTGATATTAACACAAAAATTACAGGTAAATATCAATCTGTGAAATCAAGATTCAATAAAAACATCTCAAAAGCACCAAAAATCCAATCCAAAGAACCATCCATTCCCAGGTAAACAAAAAAGAAAATCAAACATTTTAGACCTTTTTTTTTGTGTATAGTTAGTATATGTTCGAGGGGCGGAGCCAAAGTTACGAGTTTGATAAATTTAGTAGTTTTAGTTCAAACCTTGTCTTTCTATTTAAAAATTATTAAACATGGACAAATAATGTATTCAGACGATCAAAAAATTCATATACTTAAAATTCTGACTCTGTTTTATATGTTTGTTTTTGGTATAATTTGAAATACAAATGTTCCAACTTTTCGTAAGATTCTTCCAATTCTTCATACCTTTTCTTGTGCATAGATTAGTCAGTAGCGGCGCCACGTAGGATGAAGGGTTCGTGGATGAACGACGAACCCCCTTCGTTAGAAAACTATATAGCGTACTTATGCATAGATATATTTCTTTGAGTCGAGAGTTTATCAGAAACAAACATATGTAAGGATTATACTGGCTATGTTATTGTCGTTGCATTATACTAAGGTACTAATTTTGAACTGTTTTTTTTTTTGAAATTTCTGATTACGCCACTGATATGTTTTTGTTTCAGGCAAAACAGAGTTTTTGGCACAATTCGAAGCACGAATGTTCCAACAAAAACAGTTGTTGAAAAGCCATTAGCAAAATCATCATCTGGTGTTTCTCAAAGACAACTCAAATCACCAAAAAAGACTCAATCTTTAACTGATTCTGCAGTAAATTCAGTAACGAAAAGCGCCAAGAAAGAAGAAAACAGAGCAAAAACAAGAAAGAAAAGTGTTTGTTTTCGAGAAAACAGAGATGTTGCTGTTGCTGCTTCTGCTGCAGAGCCTAAAACACCGGTGAAATCGCCTGTTTTGGCGAAGCCTCGACTCTCGGGAAGCACAACTCCATTTCACAGTGCTGAGAAATGCAGCAAATGCAGATTTGACAGATTGGAAACGTCGAGTTATTGGCTTTCTCAGATCAAATTAGCTGAAAATGTCGAAAAACACTCTGTTTCTGCTGCTTTTTTTCAACTGGCTTTTGATACCAAAGCTGAGGTTCTATTTTCCCCCCTCTCTTTTTAAGTATTTCTGTTGTTTCCTTTGCTTCAGTTATCGTAACTGTATATACTCCTCATTCATGTTTTGTTTGTGTCGATATTTATTGGAAACATGTAAATAACTTTTAGATCTTTACGAGGTAGGGCTAAGGTTGCATACACATTATCTTCACCAGACTGCACTTAGAATTTTACTGAATATGTGGTTGTTATAGTGATAATAATAATAGCAAGAATATGAATTTTTTTCGAGCATATACAATAAGACTAATTTGATTTTATTGTGTATTTCTCTTAGCCCTTTCGAAACATTTTGTTGGAATTGAAAAGGTATCTACGAAGACACAAGCATTTATCCGAGGGCAAAGAGTGGAAAGAGGTTTGTTTTAGCTATGGTTTGTTGAAGGATGAGAGCAATTCTAAGGACAAAATTGGAAATAGTAGCAAGAATAAGGAGATTGAAAAAGAAAAAGAAGAAGAAGAATTAAAGTGGTTGAATTTGGAAGTTGATGAAGAATATAGTATTATTCAAGAAGGAAATGAAGTTCCATTTTCACTATTGTGTTGAATATTATGTACTAAAGTTATAGTATTTGACTTTTACATATTATATATATATGAATGTAACTTGTAGGCTAGTAGTAATATGTTTTGGTTTTGTTTTGGATTTGGTTTGTTCTCGTAGATGCACGATCAGACCTCTATGTAACAATTATCTTCTATAACAATTACTTTTGTTTTTGTATATGTCTGGACATTCAAAAGAAAACTTTCTCTATGTAACAATTATCTTCTATAACAATTACTTTTGTTTTTGTATATGTCTGGACATTCAAAAGAAAACTTTCATGTTATAACGTAAACGGGGTAAAAAGTACCCGAGCCTTCGGAGAATGGGAAAAAAAAGTTAGGGGCATTCTGAGAATTGAACTCGGGACCTCTCGCACCCTAAGCGAGAATCATACCACTAGACCAAATGCCCTTTTTGTAACTTTTAACTAAAAAAGCCCTATAATTAAAGTCAAAATGAGAATTAAAAGTTTCTTGGGCCTAAGTTGAGACCAATTCATTTGGCAAAATTTGGGCCAGCTGCAATTACAATACATATATATACATGTGATATTTCTAATTAAATATTTTTTCCTCTTCAAAGTTTTTATGGCTAGCACGACTTAGAGGTTGATTCGGGATTTTATAATAGTTATACTAGTGATTATAGTATTCACTAACGCTTTTTTCGATGGTAGATTCGAATTTAGTTCAAGTATAAGGTAGGTACACTCGAATTCATAACAATGTAGACATAGACCAAATTTTGATATGATATATTCGAACTTTTAGATTTTTAGTACTGAATTCATTATAAATAACAAAAAGTTATGGATTCAAATTTAATATTTATTAAAATAGTAATAATTTTTTAAAATATTAAATTTTACTGAACTCATAATTATAACAGTGGACCCGCCCCATACATGCATGGATCCCCCCCACCCCACCCACCCCCCTAGGTTCTGAGGATACATTTATGTCTCCAGCAGTATGTGAATGGCCATGGCAAGTCCAACTTATTGAAAAAATAAATTTGCAATAAACTCTGAAGTGAAACATCAAGAGAAAGGGACCAACTAATCAAAATTTTATGAATTCGAGTTTTTGTTAGGTACAAAATCGCTATTATTAGGGGATATTTTACTTATAATATGACAGATTTTAACGTAAATTTGAATTTAGTCAAGTCTTAATATGAATATTAATTTCTAATTCGAGCTCTATTAGGTACAAAGTCACCATAATTATAGGGTGTGTTTTACTTCTTATATGAGATTTTTCAACGCATATTTGAATTTAATCAAGTCTCAATATTGATACCTCAAATCGAACCCCCAAAAAAAAAAAGAACATCAAGAAAGGCACACGTTACACACAACAATAATTTTAAATATTTTTCTGGTTACTCATCCTATATGAAGTATCTACACTGGAGTCCGACTTATCTAGATTTTCTCTTTTGCTTGTCTCATTTCTTTGAGGTGACGCTCGTATTAAAATTTATTTTCTTAATTTCATTTATCAGTACTCAAACACAAAATCTCTAATTAAGGGTCGAGGAATCACAACCATCCTACTAGGACCCGCGTCTATATAATAATAATAACAAACATTGAATGTGACATTATTGACAATCTGTGTATAACTGTTAATAAACAGTAAAATGTATGAAACAATAAAAGACTTGCGGATTAAATGTTGACATGAAACATCATAACCCATGCAAATTGGACAGTAGCCCCAAATTGGGCCCATATTTACTGTTAAAACATAAGGCCCACTGACTAATTAGGCCCAAATATGACAAATGAAATCAACTTTTCAAGACATGTTGGCCCATACTGATGTTGTGGTAACTTCATAAACAAAAATTAATTCATTTAAAGAAAAATTACTGAAATACACGTATTATATACATTTTCCTTATTTTCAATATCCCCTTCTATTTTTAAAAACCTCTAAAATTCATTATTCTTTTAATGTATTCGAGCTAGTATTAAATGTATACAATTTATTTTATAATGTATCCGAGCTGATTTTTAATGTATTCAAGCTACATATTATGTATCCGAGCTAGTTTTTAATATTTTCGAGCTACATATTATGTATCCGATTTATTTCGTAATGTATATGAGATACTTGTTAATATATCTGAGCTACATATTATATATCCGAGCTAGTTTTTAATGTTTTCGAGCTACATATTATGTATCCGATTTATTTCGTAATGTATATGAGATACTTGTTAATATACCTGAGCTACATATTATATATCCCTTTTGTGTTACTTTTTCAGGGATTAATGTAATTATAAACTAAAGATGAATAGATTGTAATTTCATATTAAAACCATGTGATTCATAAAATTTATCCAAAATTAATTAATTTAATTGTTTAAAAAGCATTGGAGAATACAAATATATATTTTTGTGTTAGGGAAAATATTGGCTTTTTTTAGCTTTCACCAACTAGGGAAAAGGGCCACCTTGTTCCATGTCTAATAACTTGTTTTTTCATTGGGATGTTTAACATTTTTTTGTTAGGTGGCTTAGAGAAATTTCACATGTCTAGTTGTAATCATTAATGGTTGTATATTCAATGTATACCAAATGTATATAACTCACTAAATTTTGCAACAATAAGATAAAAGGCTATCTTTTGTTGTAATCATTTTGCAAATTATCACCCTCATTTATTCAAGATGTCATGGAAGAACACTAAAAGGAAATTGGTTTAGATTTGCAAATCTTGACCTCTTTTCTTTTTTTTTTTTATCTAAAACCAAATTGACTATTAACTAACACACATTACATTAAAAATCTTAATGAATGCTTTCCTCTTAAGAAATTTTAGGGGAACCAAATTTAATGGAGATTAATTAAGACATTGACATGGTGATTAAAACATTTGGATTGCTCACCTCAATTATATACAAAAATCAAGAAATGACATGAATGGATCACCACACAATGTCCAATCAATCACTTTGAAATAGATGTTATAACAACTCTCCTTTTGTTGAACATCATATAGTTGCCAAAATGTCTGTTTTTTAGACCCCTTTTCTTTTCTTTATATATATATAATTTGATTGTTCTTGTTTTTTTTATTTTATTTTCCTATCATAGTATAATAAATTATTTGATTAGTGAGGCATATTGTGTGACTTGTTTAGGAGCAGAAACCAAACATCATTAATCTTTGTGTAGGTCTTGGAGGTGCATGAATTAGTGACAAAAAGACCCTCTCAACATAGAGATATTGATAGGGCAAAAAAAAAAATGTTTTTCTTGTTTGTTTTCATCATGGGGCACCATGTTTTGTATCTTTATATTATTATTATTATGGATCTTAACATTTTTAATCAGTCGACTAAAAATTATTCTACGGAATAATCATAATAGTTTGTAGTTGTAGGTGTATGCTCAGTATATATAAAATGTATAACAGATATATTATTTGATACTTGTTGATGTGACTAATCTTTGAAGTGGTGTAAGACTCACTAAAAGGGTAAAAATGTTTTCCATTAAGAGTTTTTTTTTTTTTTTTTTCATTTTAGGACTCGGACATGAATCTCTAATCAAGAATGGATGTGGATTTTTCAGGATCAATTCTTTCGCTCTTAACTAAAACTCGAGTTCAAGATTTTAGAAAAGCAAAAACATTTGTTGTGAGTAAATATCTTTAGAGATAAACCTTGCAAAAAAAAATAACAACAATAATAAATCCAATGTAATTTACAGTTGGGGTTCGGAGAGCGTATCGGCTCAAATTCAACATGGGCCTTGGTATGCACGATTTTACTTGAAATGAATAAAACAATTGTTGGGAGTGAATGACTCTAGAGATAGACCATGCAACACCATAACAACAACAACAACATAATTAGTACAATTCAACAGCTAAGGGTTCAAAGAGTATATCAACTCAAGTGCGACAAGGGTCTTGCTATACGTACTTTTGCTTTTATTTAATTGGATTTCGAGTTCAAGATCTTATTAACCGAAAAAATAAACATATTTTATGAGTTGATCCCTCTAGAGATAAGACCTTGCAACACAACAACAACAATATAGTCAGTGCAATTCAACCATCGAAATTCAGAGAGTATATCAACTCAAGTTCAACAAGGGCCTTGCTATCCGCGATTTACATTTCAATCTGACTCTAATACAAATATCAAATCGCGAAAAAAAAACATTGAAAAAACATTTTTTGTTAAAAAAAAGGCCTAGGTGGGTGGTGTCCACAAGCACATGCCCAAGTCAAGGGCTTGAGAGGATAGACAAAGACAGATGAGGAAATCTGGAATTTTGTACGTTAAACGCGGGCGATAAAGTTAGTACTACTGACCATGAATAGTTAATTTTTTGAACAGTACAATTATTTAAATCGGGACGATCAAATTCACGAATGTTTTCAATATTTTTTTTCATATACACCACAACTTAAGTGAAATTTAAAATTTATGTGTTCGGAATTCTAGTCCTTTTGAGTAGTTATTGGTTCCACGTTGATGATTTGTAGTATGCATTTTTATCGATTTTAAAGAAAAAATAAATAAGATAAAAATTATCAGTACGCAAAAGCTAGTCCAGATACTCAAGTCATTTAAAAAAATTAAGGAGTGAAGCTATTGCGCTCTTCTCTTACAGATTCAGTCAAACTCAATAATTTTTGTTTCGAACCATATTTTATACTTTAAAAGTCTCTCTCTCTCTCTATATATATATATATAAATTTAGAACACAATAACTTTAACGGATTAGAATCTTGATTCGTAAAGTTTAAATTGTAACTCTATCGCTATTGACCTCGTAGATGAAGTTGTACATCCTATATCTATAGGTACTATATATATGTGGAGCCAAACTATATATATAGAGAGAGAGAACTCAATAATTTTAACGGATTAAAATCTTGAATTCGTAAGTTTTAAATTGTAACTCTATCGCTATCGACCTCGTAGATGAAGTTGTACATCCTATATCTATAGGTACCATATATATGTGGAGCCAAACTTAAAATCCATGGCCACAAAGAAGAAAAATCTACTAACAAGTCAATAGTTCCTACCAAAAAGATAAAATCAAATAATAATATCAATAATACATATATTATTTTTTTTAATACATTTTACGACGATTGGTCCTAAATATTATCCGTGGAATACAAGGACTAATAAAAGGAAA